GGGTATTCACTACTGAAAGTAACAGCCTTTTAAATGACAGATGTGAAACAAAGATGAAATACTAAATAACTAAGAGATTAAGTGCACAGAAACTCATAGACCAGTGTGAACTCATGGGGGGAAAAAAACGGTCCCTTTTTACCTTGTCTTAGTTAATGCTCCAGTTTTTTAAACCAGTTCTGGCAGTAGTAAGACCTGGTCAAATCCCATATTAACGTTTATTAAAACGTTATTTATTGATCAGGGCTTGAAGCTAATTAGGAGAATATTTTTTAAAGTAAACTGTTAGCAAACCTAACCTCCCTTTAAGAAAATGGTGACTCGGGCTGTGCACTTACAAATTTCTCCTGTTTACTAACCTTGTAGCTAGAACTAACTAAACTTAAATCCAGGTTTCAGTTTTGATAATAAGCTTGCCTACGTGAATGTTTCTTTATCTAACTGATGTGGTTAATCTCCTTAAATTTGCCCTGATTATATTGGAGAATGAATTTGGCCTGTTTGCTCTAGTCTGGCTACTCTTGTGCTATAGTAAGTTAGATAGATAAAGCATAGTAATTATAAGCCACAGCCTAGTATTTGTGAAGGGTACCTGTGAATGCATTAGGAAATATGGATTCATGAGTCTCCCTGAGCAGTATGTCTTTTAAAAAAGATATACTGGGCTCCTTTTAAGAAAACATTACATTAATAATATTTATAGAATCTTTTTTTCTTTATGAATTGGTACTGTAAAGAAGACTTCACAGCTATTTCTTCCTTGTGCCAGTCAACGGTATAGAAGAGGATGGTTTAGCAACAGTGTGCTAAACCAGTTATTAGCACATTATTTCTAATGATGGGGGTAAGTGGGCTCTGGAAAAGGAATACGTAATACAGATTTTTTTGTGAGAAAAAGCCTTGTAATAATTCTCCTGAGGCTAAGAGTGCCATTTTTGGTACACAGGCATGAAAAGGTTTGCCTAAAAGCTTCCAATTCTAGACGCAGCTGCAATAAATACCTTTATGTATTAGGATGCTTTTCAAAAAGCTATTCAATAAACTCTCTCACCCATTCCCAACCTATCCATACTATCAGCGAAGTAGGACTTGCAGCCTTGTCTTATTTGAGATTTAGGCCCCACAGGCATTAATTTAAAGGCACAATGGGAGTTGATGCATGATCCCAACAATGACGCTTCCTACCATGCATAAAGTGCAATTGTGGGATCAAGCATCAGATCCCATCATGCTGTATTGCAGGTGTAGGGGGAGCCTGCGCAAAGTTGGATCCCTGGTCTTCTCTGATGGGGAGCCCAGTTAGCTGATTGGAGCTCCCAGCTTCAGGAGAGCACCATGCATTCTTGCAGCTGGGTGCCCTGGTCACCTGATTGGAGCTCTCAGCCTCTGGAGCACACAGGAGTCTTGAGGGACCACACAATAAATTAAAGGCATGATAGGAACCCACAACAAAGTTATTACCAGGGCTCCTGTTTTTCTCTGTTCAAAAATTGCAAATTCTCTGACTAAAAAGCCCAAAATCTGGAATTAAAATGAAACACTGCTATAGATATACAGATATCAATTGAACACAATGTGTTATTGATATATTTACAATTTTAAAGCAGTTTAGAAGCCTACCAGTGCCTCAATCACAATGATAAAATAAATTCTAAGTAGCTATACATTTTGGTATTTCATTTTGGGTTTTTTGTCATGGAAAATCAGAGCTTCTCCTGCCCCATTAGTTCACCAGGATGCAGGTCCAGGCCCCTCACTCCCCAGCCATAGCCCTTCAGCCTCTGGTGCTCCTCACTCCCCACCCACAGCACCCCTGACTCTGATGGTGCCCCTCACTCCCCACCCACAGTCCCCACCTGCCATAGGCCTGCCAGAGGGGGCCCCCAGCTCCCAGGGCTATGGGACCAGGGACCCAGGTCCACAGCCCTCTGCCTCCCATAGCAGCCCTTGCACCCTGGCTGCTGCCCGTGGGAGGTGGTGGCTGCTGCTGTGGTGGAGCACAGAGCCCAGTTCCTCTTCCACCCACAGGCGGCAGTGCTGGGGCAGAGCCTGTGGCAGGGGCTGCTGGCTGGGGGGGGGGCACATGCCCCCCAAATTTGTGTGTGGGGTGGGTGTGGGCTGCAGATTCTGGGCTCCCTGTCCTACTGCCTTCTCCCCAGGGCCTCTGTGGCCCAATGGCTGGGTCCCGGCACGGCAGGGCAGATCAGGACCCAGGTGGGAAAGCTCATTGCTGCTGCTGAGAGCTACATGCTGCAAGGCAGTGCAGTGCACGCAGCAGCAAGGAGTTTCCCTACCCGGCCCCACTCTGCCCTGTCACACCAGGTCCCACCTGCTGGGCTGCAGAGGCTATGTGTTCTAGCATTGGGCTCCAAACCCCATATGCCGGCCCAGCTGGGCAGCAGTCCCAGCCCTGCCCAGCTCGCTCCCCCCCCCAGACTTACCAGCAGGAACTGCTCTCCAGGCTCCCTGGCAACCCTGTGCCCGTATGAGCACACACATGCACGTGGCATCCCCTGCCTGCCTGCCCTTCTCCTGCTCCCCCCAGCCCCTTGCAGACTGGAACTCTGCCAGCCTGCAGAGAGCTCTTTGCAAAAGTGTAAAATCCACGTGCTTCTCCATTAAAATAAAACATCTGCGTTTTTCTCAGTTAAAAGGAAAAATCCACATTTTTTTTCTCTTTTTTTCTGTGGGAAATGGAAAACCCATATCCCTGGTTATTGCATGTATTTTATATAATAACTGCAGTGTATTCCTCAATTTATCACATAATCAATTGAATAAATGTGTGGGTAGGACACCACTAAGATGTTATTAACCAATGAAGTGTAACATGTCAGTGATTTCAGAAATGGAAAATTCCAGATAGGTTTCCTCATTCAAACTACTTTCTTACTGGAACAGTCCTTTGATAAAATTAAGAGCAGATTTTCATTCATGTTGCATGTCCTTGGTTTCAAAGCCCTTGGTTTGACAGCCCTTGTCTGTACCTCTGACCTGGTTTCTGGGTATTTTGCCACATCCTAGCTTGGATATTCTTCTTTCTTAGGTGTTTCCCTTCTTCAGTTGTCTTCAAGATACTGCTTAAACTTTGAAAGCTCTCCTCAAACTTATTTGCCAGATTTTAACATTTCCTGCCTCTTCAAAAAAATAGAATCAGGACCATCATCTGTAAGAAAGAAGAATGAAAATTTATTTAAAAATGGGAGTAATCATTAGCAGGTGGTCTTCCCATACTAAAGAGTTACAGGATGATGATGTCACTGATGTTCTTCCTCTTCCCTTCTAACCCCCTCATGCTACTTTTTTGCCTGTGATCCTTGCTATTTGTGTTGCATTACATTTAGACTTATTTATTGGCATAGGCAACTCATAGAGGGGGCACAGGGGGGCATGTGCCTGCAGACAGTCGCCACTTGCCACCCACCCCCGCCCCCTCTGCTGCCGGCATCTGTTCGCAGCTGCCGGCGGCATCTGCGAGTGTCCTTGCTTGTCACCCCCCTCCCTTGCCACCGCTGCCAGTGTCTGCGGGCATTCCCTGCTCACTGCTGCCTACAAATGGTGCGCCCCCCCCCCCAGTCTCAGGAGGCACCAGTTGTTCATTGGGGTTTAGACTGCTAAATTATTTTATGGAGCATTTCTGGATGTTCAAAAGATAATATCTCCTATGGGGAAAATATGTTTAAAAAAAACCATTCTGCTGAAGCAAAGTGTAAAAATTTAACAGGCAATTGGAAACAGATGGAGAGAATTTCTCAAAAGCCTGTTATATTATTCTTGTGTTTAGCCTGTGCTTTTATCTCTGTAGTAGAGATCATTCCAGTGCAGAAAGCAACGTCTCACTTAACATAAAGACATGATGAAAACGTTGTGTATACGGAATTGTGTTGAAATAATGTGTTCCAATTGTTTCGAAGATGCAGTAGCACAGTCACAGCAATGTTTGGAACACTGGTCAGACGCTCGGCTGACTGATGCAGAAATAGATGGTGCTATAATAAAACCATTACTGCTTGCTTCAAGTGTGCCCTCAGGACTAGAGACAAGATGGAACTTCATGTAACTTGGTGATACAATTTGCATGTGGTATCCAGTTGCTCAAAACATGTCTGTAAGGTGTATTGACAGAGAGCTTGCTTCTCCGTGGAATAAGAGGGCTCGATAGGAATCTGGCTTCAGTTGTCTGATTCAGAGATGTCCAAGTTAAAGCTGTGTACTAGGGCAGCGTTAACAGTTTCAGGAACCTTACATGGGTGGAGAAGTGGTTAAACAGAAGCAAAGACATTTCAGTTGTATAAAAATATATATTTTAAAATACAATTCAGTATGATTCACTTGCAATGCTGAAATATTGACAACTGCTTAAAAATACAAGCATGGTTTTTAAATGAGGCACAATTAGTTTCATTTGCTGTATCAGGACTCAGCTTTTTCATGCCTGAGAAAATGTTATCTTAAGTCTCACTTCTGTAGTGCTCCTATAAAATCTCAGTGGAATTATCATCCTGTTTTGTACTGTATTATTTATATTTAAGCATGCTAGGGGCCAGGGAAAGCTGTTTCTTGTGAAAATTTTGTTATAAAACTATCCTTAGTGGTTTTCTTATAAATGCCCTCAGGTCATTTTAAAAATAAAATCCTCTGGGATTTTATCGTGTAAAGGTTTTGGTTTTTCCTTTTCTTTCTTTCTTTTTTTTAAGAATATCAGTTTTGTGCTGGTGTAGTACCATTTGCTTCAGAGGAATCAATACTTAATCGAGTGAAAGGAGAATCAGGCCCAATGTTTTTATGCAGTTAAAATAAAATAAACCTTTATAAATACAGAATGTGATATATAAGTAGTTTATGTGCAGATTAAACCCATATAACAGTGGTTGTAATTCCACTCTCTTCAGTACCTCAGGCTCTATGATATAAGATGTTATTGCATTAGTTATACTGCATTATGACAGCATCCTTGGATTTTAAATATTCAATAAAGTACTTGCATTTATTTTTTCTAGGCATATTCTGTCTATGATGAAGAGATTGGCTATTGTCAGGGACAGTCCTTCCTTGCTGCTGTGCTGCTGCTGCATGTGAGTAAATTATAAAAATGAAAGCTCTGACATAATGAAGTCAAACCAGCTTTAAAAATTCTGGGTCTGTAGCTTGCTGTCTGTCAAATATTTCCCAGCGCTCATTTTTCTGTGTTCATTTTTGCTTCCCTGTTGAATCCTTTTTACTTGATGACAAAGAGAGAGCGTGCATATGGTTTATTCCTTTATGAATGTGTAGTTCATCTGTCATTAAGCCAGGAGTTAGCTATATTTTGTAATAACTGAAGCAAATATAGCTTGTAGTTTAGTTTTATTTATTTGATGATTAAAGGTTCCTGTTTTGAATGATTTTTTGTGGCAAATCATGGATTTCTTTGATAATTTTTATTTATTTCTTAACTTGGTTCTCACCTAGACAGACTCCTATTTAAATTGCTGAGAGTTTGTTTATGAGAGTGTTTTTTTCAGAGGCACCCAAGAGAATTATAAGTCTCATTGACATTAGTGATATTTTTGCTCCTAGTGGACACATTTGAAAATCTCCTTGTGAATGAAAATTGAAAAGGGACCTTAGAAGTTGACCCTCTCATTGAAAAACATATTTAACATGCAAGTTAGATAATTTATATCATCCTATTTCTCTTCCAAGACCCTAAAACAGTTCAAACATAAGATACGTTTACAAGCTTCTTGGCAAATACACTGATACATCAGTAGTTAAGTGATAGGGATATTGTGAAAACCATGTTTTAAAAACCAGTTGTCAGCTTGCGTATTTTTATTACCAGGTTTTTGTTCTGGACTTCATATTAATAACTATCAGAATTTATTTCCCTTTAGAGCATGCTGCTTTATGTGACCTCTGAAAATTTATGCATCATGTCTATATAATCTGTGAGATATGAAATAATGAAGGCATCTAAAAGCAAAATTCAACCTATTTCAGGCAAAAATTTTAGTTCTTAAAGGCGTCTGTGACTTTTTGAAGATCTAAAAAACATAATGCCCAATAGGAGAAGTGGCAGGTTATGTATGATTGAGAAAGTTGAAGTAGAAAGTTGGTCACATTATAACCATTCCAAATAATCCAAAATCAAACCAGTCCATTAGATGTTTTACGAGACATTCCTTATCCAAAGGTAGACTTTCATAAGTTTACCCCAATAAAGCAAGCCACTTTACAGTAACCCAAGTGTTTAAAAGTGAATAAAGTCTCTCAGATTCCAAATATGTAATAATTTTTTTGTTTCCTATAATTTTTAAATTGTAATTGTTTAGTGTTATTGGTCCCATTATAGCTAAGAATTGCCTTCCAGTGTTGAGAGTTTGGGATAAAATTAGGAAGATATTCCTATGTACCTGTGGAATATAAAATTGAAGTTACACCCATTACAAGATATCTATCATATTATGGATTCATAATAGGAAATTAAATTGAAATGGTTGGCAGGGAAGGAAGCACCTCTCTTTGACATAGCTTTGGATTAAACAGGAGAGCTACTTTTCCCTCCTTACATCAAACCTGGTAGTCTTTACCAAAGCCATCAATGATGTGCTCTTTTAGTTCTCAAGCTTTACATTAAGACGTGAACAATATTTGATGCTTTCCTTTAAATCCAACTCCTGGAGTCATATGAATATGCAAGAATCTAAATTTTAATTAAAAAATAGAAAATTTCTTGCTATCACGTGGTTTTTCAAAACCAAAAAAACCTAAAGAGGTAAATATGAAAGGTTCAAAAACCAGAAAGCCAATGTACAAAAATAAATAAATAAATATAAATTGCATGATTTTTGGAGACTGACTTATGATTTTAGACTCTTGATGTTGCTAATACTGGGCAACTATATCCACTGTAAATGTGGTCTTTATGGCATCTACCTGTAGACACCCTAACAGCAAACTCCCTCTTCCTCTCCCTCCTCCATAGGTGTGGGAAGGCATTAAAAGTGTGCATGTACATGAGCATGCCAGGAGTATGTTTGTGTAAGCATCACTTGTCATATTCGTTGTAAATACTTTCCTTATTAGTCTGTGTACAAGTAAAAGGCATTGCTTTATTGAAAACAGCTCCCAAATCCCCAAATTCTTCATGTGGGATAAAGCTATTCATTTCTCTTGTTCACTTTGTCTGCAGCTATTATCTAGTTTTGATGGGGACTAATCTTTCCAAAAAGAATTCTGGTGAGCCATCTGAGATATGTAGCAGCTTTTTATAGATAACCATAGTCTGTTCAGGCAGGTAGTAGCTGAGCTGGCATTTCTTATGTTTAACCAGCTACTCTAATGTAAATTCACTGAAAAGAAAAGATTCAACACCAGTTATAGGCCTGAAGATGGGGCACGATCTTAGTCTTTGTGCTAAAATGTGAAACTCTGGAAGTCAATAAGAAGAGACTGAAATTCTCTTTGAAGAAAAATATCCAGCTTTTATCCACAGTTGACATTTGCTGAGAGAGAGAGTCTAGAAATAATAAAAGGTTAAGACTTGCCATTCTGATATTCAAAAGTAGTTTTTTTCATTGGTACCTATTTGATGCCTACAAAAATAACACAATGTTATGATTTGAGGCTTGATTTAGATTTGCAGTGGCATCTGCTCATGTGTATCTTGTTATGATACTCCCTTTTCCCAGAGGGCTGATAACCAGCCAGCACAGCTCCAGAAATGAGGGCAGCTTGCTTTACTGTATCTCCCTGGTGGGACTTTGGTAGAGTCACAGCAAAGATTAAAGCTTTTGTGAACATTTGGAGGTTCAGCCAAGATGTTGCAGTGAGGCAATGGAAGTCTTAATGCTAAAAGATAGACTCATTCCTTATGAGATCTCAGAAGGAGTCACATCTTTACAGGGACACATTCATTGTTTTCTCCCTTACCATGTGACCAGTCAGTGCATCTGGAACTTGGATATATTTGTCCCCTTTTTATGTTTTTCTCTATGTGGTATTGAGGGGCTGTATTGGATCTGCCATTGGGGTGGCAAAGTCATTGGATTTCTGCCTTGCTTGCCTCTCAGGGTCTCTCCCTGTTATCTCACCTGCCATGATTTGATGCTGTAATTGGACAGGGAGGCTGCCTCTAGAGGGCAGAGGGGTTTCGCTTCAGGTCCTAGGTCCTTGTCTGGGTTGAGGCCACCCTGGCCTTGGCCCATGTTACTCTGACTGGGCCCCTTCACCTGAGGTCCACAGTCCCAGGACCTTAGGTTCCCAAGACCCAGCTCCAGCCTTGCCCTTCGTGGGCTGCAGGCTCCTCAGCTCTGGTCTTTCCTGTCTGATACTACAGTCCTTCTGCTGACAGTGCTTCCACCCTTTGAAGGGTTTAGTACCTGGGATGCCCTGGCACCCTTCTCAGTGGTCGCCTCCTCCCCTCCAGCCACAATCTAGTCCTCCAGTCCAACTTCAACATAAAAGAGAAATGTGAGCATCTGCTCCCAAACAAAAAAGTTCCCCCAACCCTGGGTCAACACCACACCGGCTGTATCTAGCCGAACGTGGCTGTGTGGTATGTGGTGATGCAAACGTGTGTGGTGCCACATACTGCACATTCATTTGTTCTCCAGGCTACAAGGGAGCAGTGCAGAGGGTTTTTTGACCCTTAGAGATCCAGGGGTCAAAAAAACCTGCAGAAAAAAAAAAAGCAGAGTGGCACATGTGGCAGCAGCATGTGCTGTCCAAAGCCAGAGCCTGGCCGGCTGGAGCTACAATCCACTGCTGGCCTGGCTCTGTGCAGCAGGATCATCGCTGCTACAGCCCTGGAAGACACCCAGGACTCCACATAAGGCTGCTGGGGCCAGTCCAGTGCTGGCCCCAGACTCCTCTACAGCACCTGGGGTAATTTGCTGCGCGCCAGAATGCACGTGGCACAGGTGTTCGCTGTGGACAACTAGTGGCGGCATAAGGTGCACTGTCACTAGTTGTCCCTGGGAACCAAACATCCATGCGTGCCTGGACACGGCCACTGTGGCAGTGAGCTATAGCACTAGGCCCAAAATATTTATCCTGGAGGGAAATTCAGATTGGGTGGGGGGGAGGTGGAGGCAGGGGAGAGGACTGTGGGTGCTTGCCCCAGTCCTCAGGGCCGGGCCGAACCAGCACTGCAGCTGGGAACCACATGGGGTGGAGTGGGGTGGGGGGTGGTATGGAGAGCTGTGGCAGCAACAACAAGAAGGGAAGCACTGAAAGTGGCAGCAGGCAGGGAGAAGGGGCAGCAAGTGGGCGCAGGGAGCTCAGTGACAACTGGGCGAGAGCACAGGGCCCACGCTGGTGCAGTGGGGCCAGGGCCAGTTGGGGGCCCAGGGTGGGGGCGGCAAGAGCTCAGGGCCTGGGCTGGCAGGTGCTCTGGAGCAAGGCCGGCTCCCCCCTCTCTCTGCTGGCACAGCCCAGCCCCTGCCCTGTGCTCTTGCTGCCCTGAGCTGGGCCTCACTGGTGCTGGCCACAGGACTCAGCAGGAGCTGGCCTGGCCCCTGCAATTCTTGGCTGGCTCCGTGCAGTGCCAGCCAGGTTGGTCCAGCTCCTGCTGGATCCTGCAGTCTCGGCCATGCAGCTGGGACATGGTGCGCCAGAGTGGCGAGCTGGGGGGAGGGACAGGGAAGTGGCAGAAGGGCAGCAGTGGCAAATGGAGGGGAAGTGGTTGCGAGTGGGAGACGGGGCTGCGCCGGTGCGCTGGGGCCAGGAGCTCCAGGAGTACAGAGCCCAGGCTTGGAGGAGCGCTGGTGGGGGCACTGCCTGTCATGACGGGGCTGTGGGCAAACCTTCCCCCTCCACACATGCCACAACCCTCCCCAGCCACCCTCTCCCCACACACTCGCAGCCCCCCACAAATCCCATACTTACACACACCCCCATATCCACACACACTCTCCCTCACACTCCACATACCCACACACCATAAACCTATACTCCCCCCACAATATGCAAAAGTAAGACTTCATTTTAAGCTGTGATACAACCAGTTCTATGTACACTACACAAACGCATGTAGATCAGGACAAATATATTTCTTGAAATGCAGTTAATGAATAATATAGTACATGTTTGATATTTAGAATATAATTTAGTATTTTTCTGGTTCCGAGACGTAAAAACCTTGCTGAAAGGAGTGCTTCTGTGGGGGGGGCAAGAGGAGGGAATTCTGCTGGCAAAGGTCAGGGGTTAGTGGGTGTGACTTCTGGTCCCAAGATGGCAACCAGGGGGGTGGGGCACCTGTCAAGGGGAGGGGCTACTCTTGCGGTCCTTGACAGCTTGCCAAAACTTGGTAAGCAGCCCTCCACCTGAAATAGCAGCCCGTCCCTGGTCTAGTATGTGTCTTCATTCAGAGGTAAAAAATACATTAAGTTTTATACATCCCTAATTTAGAACCCATTTTGCAGAAAAAAAAATCAGTTTTATATGGCTAAAGTATTTCAGATTTCAGCTGGGTTCCCAGTTACATTATTTAAATGAACTTTGTATATTGAATGGACTAGAAAACCCTTTAAGGACCTTCCAACTCTATTTTTGTATGATTTTATTTTGCTCTGCAGATGCCAGAAGAACAGGCATTCTGTGTACTGGTGAATATCATGTATAACTATGGCCTGCGGGACCTTTACAAAAATAATTTTGAAGATCTTCATTGCAAATTTTACCAGCTGGAGAAACTAATTCAGGTAAGAACAGGTCTCTAGTCCTATCATAAGTATAGGTGGTAAGTTGAAGAAAAGGAAATCTTTCCCTTCTGCAGGCTGTAGAAAAGTTCAAGTCTCCTTTTCAGAAGTGTGCTTGAACTAAATTTTTGGACCCAACAGGTCCAAAACTGTGGGGAAACTTAGGATTTGAATTCAGGCATTGTGGCTTAGGTCCTTTTCTGATTTATTTTGACTTTCATATACTTGTTCTTGCTAGCCTTTTAGATCCCAAAGGAGATTATTTATGATTACTCAGTGCGCATGTCGTTTCTAATAATGATGATGAAGTCACCATTAACACAGAAGTTTCACCAGATCATGGTACCATAAATTTATTCCTAATTTGCATAGCTTGCATTAAGAGCGGCAAGGCTTTTTTGTGATTTTTTTTATTAGATTAACGGTATAGTAAGGAGAGCTTTCAAGCTTTCAAGCATCAGATGCCCTTCCTCAGATACTTGGTGCTTGAAAGCTTGTCCAGCAGCTCTGCCAACTGTACAGTTGGGCCAATGAAAAATGCCACAAAAAATCCTTGCCTTTCATACATTTTGTTGGAACATCATGGTTACAATAAGACTCCAACTCCTATTGCATTAAGAGACAAGATGCTATACAAATTCTGACATTCCTATAACTATGAAACATTTTATAGATGTAATTATTTGAAATATATCTTGTTTCTCTCTCAGATTTAATGTTTTCATATTAAAAGCTATTTAACTCATAATTTTAAATATAATCACCTTGACTAAAAAATTGTATTAGCAGTCCATTAAGCTTTGACCTTTGCTTTTGTTACAGTAATAGAACCTGCTTGTTGAATTGGTTACCCAGAGTACAAATACAACTGTTCCTCATACTTTTCTGAGATTTAAAAAATAGTCTTGTGTCAACAAACACTTTGAGATCTAACGCTCGTTTTCCAAGTGTCAGTTTGTTTGTGTTTACAATATACCAACACACAACAATTAAAGCATTTATGTGGTGTTACATAAATCCTGTTTAATTTTTAATCTGTTCTTTTAATATTAATACCTGACAGCTATGGTGACCTTTATGTAGTAAGTGTGGTTTAATGACAAATTTATATAATCGGCTAGTTGAATTGGTATTTCTTCCTATGTGGTGGTGTTTATAAGCTCCTGGCTGTGAAACTTGCCTTACTGAGTTGTAAATATGTATTGAAATTGTGTGTCTTGTCTTACATGTGTCTTACAGCTGATTCATTTCTCATTTGTTCCCTGCCCCAGAATCCATTTTTCATCATTTGGTCCCAAAAAACTTTATAGTTTAAGTGTTTAATGGATTTCTTTAAAATATGAGATCCCCATACATTGCACCACTATTCTGCTTTTTCACATTTAAGTTCATAAAATTTATTCCTGTCATCCTCTGAAAAATAACTGATTTGATTCCATGATAGAATCCATTATGGATATCACAGTAGAGAAATTCTCAAATAACATGGGTGAATTACTAGTCACTCTGAAGTTCATGTCAAAAGTCCCACTGACTTTAGTGAAACCAGGATTTCTCTCTCTCTTTTGTCAAACCTTCTGTAACCTACTACTTGTCAGCAATACATTTCTGAAGTCAGAAGATCATCATATGATATTTAAGGGTTTATTTTTTCCTCACTCTAGGAACAGCTACCTGATTTGTATAGCCGTTTCACAGACCTGAACCTGGAAGCTCATATGTATGCATCCCAGTGGTTTCTTACCCTCTTCACTGCCAAATTCCCACTCTGCATGGTCTTCCACATCATTGACTTACTACTTTGTGAGGTAAATGACATTTGCCTGAATCAGAAGGAACTGTTTGGGGAGAAGATGCTATATGTTCTTGCTTTGTTTTGTTGGAAGCTTTATTTTCAAATCTGTAAAACACATGGGATGCTGGATAGTTTAGACACAGGATACTAAATGAGACATTTTATTTTTTAAATGGGTGTTCTAGACTGCCAGAAAGTTTTGTTTTTTTTCCAGTAAGGGCTTTAAATAAATGTTTTCCTTGCACAGTTCTTTTAGACATGTATTTTTAAAAATAGTTAGATCACACAAATTTAAGTACTCTGACTTCTTACCATTTGCTCAGTTACGATGACGCTGTAGGACCCTACATTTCTTCACATGGGGACATCCAAAGGAATTGGATATATTACATGTTGCATCTGTCACCTTATTAAATGGGTAGTAACAAATTACCAAACAGTGTTGATACATGGAGTTTTATAGTATGACAGGTGGAAATAATCAAGGACCGCTTTTGCTAAATTCCAGGCAACGAAAGGTATGTCTACACTTTAGCTGGCTTGGATACTGGTGGTAGTGAATCTGTGGCAACATGTTGCTTAGCAACTATAGGAATATTAACCCAGCTTTTCAGGTAGTTCTTACAGACCCCACTGAGCCCCCGTGGCTGTTCTTTAGCCTTGAACCCCCACCACTGCCTAAGCTAGCTAGTTTAAAACCAGTTCTGGTATGACTACACCAGGTTCACAGGAGTGACTGCAATATAGCTATGCTTTTGGGTAACCAGAACATTATACTACCTGACTTTACAGGGCTGCTTCTGATGAGATACTTTGAGACAGCAAGGGAGCTGGTTACTTCATGTACTGCTGATTGAAAGTATTATATAGTTTTAAAGGTGCTTGCAAGGTTACATGGTAGAGGATGTAAATTTCCTGGGGCAGCATGCATTTACAGAGAAGTACAATTTTCTTTGCCTTTAAAAATCCCTTCTTTGCCTTTGTTTTCTAATGTGGTGTTAAATGCTGATAAAGCTGATAAATGTTCTGTTATCAAGCAGTAGGAGGGAACCCCTTCCTAATCAGAGTGTCCTGCCAGGGCCTGGCCACCCCCACCCCCCTCAGCTCAGCACTTTGGAAGGGAAGGGAGGGCTGCTTTAGTACTCCCCTGGCTTTCTGGGATGCCTGTGGGATTACAAACCAGTTTAGCCTACCCATGTTAGACTATCTTGCAAAGATTGAATCAATTCAAGCTCAGGGTTTTTGAATGTCTGTCCCTAGCCTTGAACAATATGAAACTTTTTTCACGGTTTGTGGGGAAAGAAGATGCATGGTATCTGGCAAATGGAAAATAGAAATTAGGATTTTCAGGCATGTTCAGGGCTGGATCCAAGGGAGGTGCACTGTTGCAGTGTCACCCCCTTTGATTTCTGGTCCGTCCAAAGTTTAAAAACAGCTGTCTGACAGTGGCAGCAGTATTTCTATTCGGGCAGCAGTGGGGAGTCAATTGACTTCATGGCTCCTTATAATCTACCTGATTCCTTCTAAACTTTTCATTCCACAGGTCTTAATGACTCTTTCTCCTTTTAATGGTGTTTAATGGTTCCACTAAACAAGATATTCTTTGTTCTGCAATTCTGCTGTATGTTAGGCTGCTCCTGGTAATGTAGGTCTTATTTCACAGTCCTCCAGATTGGTTTTAACTGTAGCTAGAAACATTAACTCAGGTGTGGAAATACTTTTCAGTGAACTATTGGATGCACCGTCAAGACACTCTAGAAGGCTAGATTTTGTTTTATGACTCTGAAAAAGAGATGTGCATATCATTCTAACAACTACAGGACTAATGAAAAAACATCTTTTGATAATTTTTGCCTAGTTGGTTGTGTTTTATACTTAATATATGATTTAGCAAATTAATGCACATCCCAATAAAGTTATATTTGTTTTTGATTCAGTTTTAAACTGAATAACATAGCCCTACGCCCCTAGTTTATTAGTGATAATAATAAACTTTTTACCTGGAGAAAAATGGGTGTTGTATTATATGTGATGATGCACCAAACCATTCACACTCCCTTTTTTCAAAATCCTAGGTGTGCCTGTTGGCATGTTTATGGGTTCCTCACTATGAAAACTGCAGTAGTTTTGCTTGGGTAATAGGAAGTTGTATGGAGGAGATTAAAATAATTTTTCAATCTGTTTTAACAATAATTATTAGACCTGTGCGAAGTGGCTAGTATTCGCTTCGGATTTGGCTGATTCGGGGGACACTTATTCGATTCAGTGATTCAAATCACTGTCCCAAATAGATTCAGCTGAATCTGATTCAGAGATTCGACCACCACCAAATCAGCCAAATCTCTGAGTTAGACAGGTCCCATCCCCTGCCTGCTTTCCCAGCCCCATCAATGGCTGCCCACCTGGCCCCAGCCTCCTGGCTCTTTAAAAAAAAAAGGTCAGAACTCACTGTGTGTGTGGGATTTTTTTTTTTTTTTAAAGAGCTGGTAGCTGGGGCCTGGGGGGGCAGCCATGGGGGGAGCTGGGAGAGTGGGCGGGGTTTAGGGGACACTCAGGGAGGCTGGGGGAGCAGGCAGGGGATGGGGCCTGGTGGGAGTCTCCCCATGGTCCCCTCCCCCATCCTCCAGGCCCCATCCCTCCCCCTACTCACCAGCATGGAGTCCGGGTCCAGCCCGAATCTCCAAAGCTTTCTGAATCTTTTCTGAACTGATTCCGAGAGCTTTGCATCGATTCACACCTTTTTATTGGTCTTCTGGTTTGATTCAGATTAGGAGATTTGGCCACCGAATCTCCTCCAAATCGAATCAGCACCCGAAGCTTTGCACAGCTCTAATAATTATACCTTTACCAAACACTTTTTGTTTTTTATGTATTTTTGTTAATTATACCAGTATTGAAGTGCAGAATTGAAGTCATCTTATTTTGCATTCTGGTACTATGTGTGTGACAAGAAGCATGCTTCTCAACTAGATGGCTGTAACTTGTAGTCTTCTCAGAAATGTCTGTTTTATTTAACATGTTACTGTATCTCAGTGTGGTTGAAGCAGGATATCAGACTGGTGGGACTAGAAGATTTTGTTCTATTTCAGTCTGCCACTGAGTTGCTGTTAGACTTTAGGTAAATCATAACGCTTCTATATTTCTACTTGCCTACATCCAGCACAGGGATAGTTGCATAGTATTTGCTTTAAAAAAAACATCTTTGCAGTCCACAATTGAAATATATTTTATGGGTGTGAAGTGGTGGCTTCAATTTCATTGTCATTTATTTTTAGTGTGAAGCATTTTTCTCTTGAATTTTCAGATAGTTGAGCTGTAAATCATTGATATAGTTTTATACTGTAGGAAACTGACTTCTTCTTAAAAATATAGCTTCTCATGTATGTTGTTTGTTTATCAAAAAGCATCAGGTCGATATCTGCATGCAGAGAAATTGTTGAGAAGAGTGATCTTATTTATTTTTTTAGCATCGCAATACATTTTAGTTTGGATCTAAAACACTCAGTCATCGTTTTTTAACATTTCTTAATTGGTTTAATAAAACAGAGAAGAGAAAAATGCAACAATCAGCAAAAGACAAAGGCAGAGCAGCAGCAATTAATTCCACACATTTTACTTGCTCTTTTTTGTCCTATTCTTTGCAGAGTAAATGAAACAGTAGCTTAGTTCACTTGTTTTATCATTTTGGAATTAAGTTAGCAAGTTTATTTTCAGAACAGAATTATGAGTGAGAATTTGATCAGTCCCTGTCACTCCAGGATATGCTTGTTCTGTTCTTGATGAGAAAATTCATATCTATTCACTCCAGTCTGTTTCAGTACTAAACATTCAGGAAATGGTATACAAACAAGAATCTACAGCTTTTCACTGCAGTGATTGCAAAGCTGACAGCGTAGCTACACTTTAAAAGTAGTCAACCTTTTTATTATATTAACCCTCATAATAAAATATAAATGCTGAAGGAATTTCTTTATGTCAATTAAAATGTGTAAAAATATGAAAAATCCCTAAGAATCATTTAAATGTGTATGTCATCTCTGGTAATCTCTATGTAGTATCATTTGATGAAAAGATTAAATATATTTCTTCCTTTTTAGGAACACAAATAAGGTTGTAGAAAGAGAAAAATTTGAATCTACTTGAGAACTTTTTTTCTCAGCATTTGAGAAGGAAAAATCCAGCTGAAAGAGCCTAATTAATGGTAGCTTAAAACTTAATTAAAAATGACAAAGAAACAGAATTCAAGTAAAAAGCTATATGTAGGTATCTCAGGTACTAAGAGGGTCTTGTGTTGATAAACAAACACAAACCAAATAATAATATAGACCAGCTGGAATGTCACTCCAGTTTCCGGGAATAATTTGTACTGAAAATACCTGAGATTTTGAGTGTCTAAGAGAAATTAAGGATCAAAACTAGGGTTGACCTGTAGTTAAATTAAAAATCTAGCTAGCCCTCAACAGGAAAGAACATATGAGACTTGACAGGAGAGGAGACAAACATATGTCTAATGGGGACTGCAGTCATGCTATAGAATTATCTCTCTAACTATCCTCCAAAAAAGAACAGTGCAACAATTAAATACATATTTTCTGTCTGCATTAAATAGCACTTTACTTTCTCTCTCAAAATACAGCATGTCTGTAATTCCAGCAACTGGAAGAAGAAAAAAAGGTGTTGCAGTTAGAGGTGGAAAATATCATTCTAAAAAAAACCCATTTGAAGTGAGCTGCATTGTGGTTTTTTATGGGTTTCCAGCCTTCTCATTAACTTGTCTTTGTTATAAATACAGATGAATTTTGAATAGCCCTTAACTTCCTTCCTGACTGTGCTGTCCCCATTTCCCTATCCTGCCTGTAGCTGACAAAATGTTTACATCCTAAGCAACTCATTTATGTAAGAAAAATGTTTGAAGAGCAAGAACGGGAAACATTGCTGAATAGATGGTCCAAGCTAGTCATTCTCAAGGATATTTTCTCTTCCCCTTGAAAATGATTCAAATTATAGTACTAA